CTCCTGTGGCACCAGGACGAGTTGCAGGTCGTTTCCAACCAGGGGGGGGGGGGGGGGGGCAAGGCGGCAGTGGCGGCAGTGGCGGCGGTGTGCAGTGGGCAGGATGCAGCAGGGAAGGAGGTGGTGGTCTCCCTGGCTCGTGTTACCGTCATGACAGACACCTGCCGCCTCACCATTCAATGCGTCAACGGTGATGGCCACAGTCACGGAGGTTTCGGTGGAGGTCTGCTGCAGGCTTCCGTAGCCGTGGTGGGCAGCGCATCAGGGGCCTAACCCAGCGTTGCCCAGCACTGGGCAGGGCTCTGCTGAATTTCCCACCAACCAGTGCTACATTAGTGCTGCCTAGCACCCGCGGGCAGTGCTGGGAAGCGCTGGCGCTGAGCAGCGCTGGTCACCGCCGCCGCTCCAGCGCTGGAGCGGCGCTGGGGTTGCCCGCAAGCGCCCTGTCCGCGCTGCATGTGCAGCACTTGCGCTGGTCAGCACTGGTCGGTGGGAAATTCAGCAGAGCCCTGCCCAGTGCTGCGCAGCGCTGGGTTAGACCCCAGATGCGGCCGCGTCGGCGCCGCCATGCAGCCCGCCTGCGGGGGTGCGCCGCGATTTAACAACATCTGAGAACTGCGCTCACAACCAGCCACTCCAAGGCGCCTGAGTGCGAGGGAGGCGGGGAGCGCGGCTGCCGCGTTGCCCGGCCGTGGCGGCTTGAAGGCAAGGCAGGCGCCCCGGCACTCTGAACATGCGCTGATCGACGTCTGGATGCCTCTTAAATCGTTTGGGGGAGCTCACCTGCCAGGAGGCTGAGCAGGAGAATGGGCAGCAGGGAACCCTGGTCCCAGGACGCCATGCCCCTCTGCTTGATGCGTTAATCAGGCGAGATCGAAGACAGGTCACAGCTGCGACGTGCAAACACGGGCGGGGTCTCCTGCTGTGCCTGCTGCTGCGCCCGCTGTGGCGGTTCACCGCCGGTTGGCCCAGCGAAATGACGTTCGAGTTACAGGAAGACAGCCTAGCTGGCCGAGTACGTTTGTCGCCCCATTTTCTTGTCGTTCTGCAGCGAGTAGAAGTGGATGGCCTTGATGGCCAGCTGCGTGCCCGCATCCTTGCCATCCAGCAAGCTGCCCAGGTGCCGCTCGCCAGACCACACTCGCCGCACGGCGCCCCGCACATCCCAGCCTGCACGAGCCGGCGGGGAAGTGGTCAGGGTAGGCAGCGGGCTGGGTGAGGCGCTGCCTTGGCACAGCAAACCTGGCTCCTGCAAAAGGCTGAGCATGCGCTGTCATACCAATCAAGGCTTGAAGGATGCCACTTGTTCGGTTGTGTCACGCCTGCTGCACGCCACCCACCAACTCACCCCACGACTCTATCTCGTCCATCACTCTGGACCTGATGACCGGCACCCTGTCCCGGCTCTGCTGGTCCTGCAACCACCCAGGAAAGCCACAGCCGAGGTCAGGGCATCCGTCGCACAGCCAGCCGGCAGCACGCACACTGGCACAGCATGCACACCCCGCGCCCGCCCAGCCAGCCACACTTCTGATGCTGCCAGCCAGGGCACCGCCGCAACCGCCTGCAGCAGCGGGTCGAGCTGCCGGATCTTCGTCATCGCCGCCGCCTGCTCTGTCACAGCAGTGGCCTTTTCCTGCTGTGCCGACTCCTGCACGCACAACCACAGCACGCCAATGGGTTACTGGGGCCATGCCACGCCACAGCAGCACCATGGCCAGCTGCCCGCTCAGCTGCCAGCTGTCCAGCATCTGTCACTGCCCATTGGCAGCGCCTGCATCCAGCCCCGCGCCCTGCCACACCGACTGCGCCTGCATGTCCCGAAACTGCTCCTCGCTGATGGTCTGGCTGGGGAAGCCGGCGGCCGCCGCTCGCGCCCGCACCGCCTCCACCTTCTCCGGGCCCGGCGGCGCTGCTTTGGGGGCTGCACGCCAGCACAGGCCAGCAGGGGCCCAGCTCAGCAAATCTCCGGAAAGGCGGCTGCAAGGGGTGACGCGGCATGGCAGCGAGGCGCGACGGCGCAAGGAGCACACGCGGCACCGTGGGTGCAGCGGCCGCCCACCTGCGGCAGCGGGGCGGGGCTTGGGCGCCACGTGCGGCTTGGGTGGCGCCTTTGGCCTGAACTGGTCGCCGTCGAAGTAGAAGTAAGGGGGCAGGCCCAGGCGCAGCAGCAGGTGGCCTATGTTCTGCTGCACCAGCTGCGCGCAGTTGCCGCCCGTGGTCTTGAGCTGGCACCGCACCCTCCTCAGCTGGCCCTCCGCGTAAGGGTCCCTGCACGGCGCCGGCAGCACCAGGCGGCGCGGCTCAGCTGCCGCTGCGGGTCCGGGGAGCTGCCAAGCAGCGCTGGGCGCAGCAGGGACCTGACCAAGAGGCGTGCAGCGCGGTGTCCTTTGATTGCGCTGGCAGGCCTGGCTAGCGCAAGCATGCCTCCTCTTTCTTATCCTTTTCGCCTCCTGCACCTCTGCCTTGCAGTCACCTGAAGGTGAACATCACAACCTTGATGTAGGCTGGGGGGTAGCCGTGCGGGCTCTCCAGGCTGCGCGCAAACTGCTTGAGCGTGGCCAGTGCTCGGCGGTTGGCCTCCAGCGCGTCTGCCGGCAGCAGGTCCTGGGTCACCACCTCCTCCAGCTGCTTCAGGGACACACTGAACGGCTGCATCTGCTGCTTCTGTTGCGGGGACAGGGCATGGCACACGCGGGGCGGGGCGCAGCCGGCAAATGAGCTGGGGATGCGAGGCTGGGTGGCAGCGGAGCGAATAGGCGACCCCCTGCCACAGGTAAGCTTGGACGAGCAGTGCGAGAGCTGCAGCGGATCATCACCTCCGGTGGCACCTCGTCATCAGCAGCAGTCCCGCCTTTGGCGTAGCCGCAGACCTGCAGCAGGGCTGCCGACGCCGCCGGCGCCATTGCGCGGGCAGCGCATGCCGCCGCCGCTCGCTGCCCGGTTAGCAGCTCGCTGGCGGCTCGCCGCAGCCACAGCATGGATGATCGCTTCTGCTATGCCGATGCTCGCGCTTGCGGGCTCAAGGCTGCTAGGAGAGAGGAGTGCTGCCGAGAGAGGGAGGTGAAGGAGTGGCAGGCGGCAGCACTTTTGATGTGGGCGTGCATCAGGTTGAGACGATGCCAATGAGATTGTGTGCCAATTGAGCTCGATGGGAAAAGTGTACTGTGCCTACACGCTTGCAGCGCAGCAAACCCCAACGCCGGTCCCAATCATTCATTTCTGCCGCATCTGCACCTCAAGAGCAGAGCCCAAGGGGCGGAGGGGGCCTTCGGGTTGTCACCCTTCTCGGAGACTCACACCCCCTTTGTGGGTTGTTTTCGCTGCTCCCTGGTGCGCAGACGGCACTTGCGATGCCGCCAGATGTTGGCTGCACTCAGCCTATGACGGAACAGCCCTGCAGCGCTCGGTCGCACCTGGCGCCACCGCCGCCACCACCGCTTCCTACTCTTTGCCTAAGTGCACCAGCGACACTTGGTGGAGCAGCGTCTGGTGGCGAGAGCGAGGCTGCGATGGTGGCAGCTCCTCGTCTGCGCAGCCTCGCACATGCCACCGCGCAATGCAGGCATGGCATGAGAGGGCAGCAGCTGCATGCCTGCCACCCCTCGCTGCCCCACTGCTGCTCTCCTGATCATGGGAGGCTCATCAGCCAGCCGCCTGCCCCCGCCACAGGATCTGCCTCTGCTGGTATGTCATGCAGCAGGCAGGCAAAAGCCGCACCCAAGGGGTCGCAGCTTCCAGCTCTGCGGCAGGGGCACCAGGAGCGGGTCACGGAAGCTTCAGCGCTGGCCCCAGGCAGTAGGCCAGGCGGTGGTGGGCCCTCTGCCGGGGCCTATCGCCGTCTTCCCGAGGGCAGCGCGGAGCCAGAAGGAAACCCAACCCTCTCAGCCGCCGCAGCAGCCTGAAGGTCCTGGCCAGCAGAAGCATGCAGCTGAAGCTCTGTGGCTGGCGCGCTTGGTGGGCTCAACCGGCGCCGGTGGCATCCATGATCAGCCAGCTGACGACAGGCGGCCTACGCCCCACCACAGCGCCTTGCTGATAGGTGGCATCCTGGGTGGATTACACACTCTGAAGGTATCGCAGATGCAGACATCATATCATGAAATGCAATGCGGCTTAGCGGGGGAACATCATGGAATCATGGAAGAGGTATGTACTGGCAGGGAACGACAGATCTGACAGGCTAGACAGAGGGATGCTGTGTGCAAGAAAAAAGGTTCGGGGGCCGCCTGAGCCAGGGAGGCGGCAACACCACCGCCACATCATGCCCAGAAGCATGTGCTCAGAAGCGTGGTTGTGGTGCATCATTCACCAGCTGAGCAAACACCGGTGGGCAGGACCCAGTCCCGCAAGAGCCGTATGTTGTGCAAGCCGGCCCACCATGCCCCTCAAAGTGCTATGGCTCGGTCCCCATTGCCGGCACAGCGTTACTGGTTCTTCTTGTGCTTATCGGCGGCTGCAGGCGGGGTGGCAGGTGGCCGGCAAGCGCTGGTTTCAGTTTGTGGTGTGCGTGCATGGTAGGAGCAAGCCCAGGGCGACAACCGCCAGTCAATGTGCGTGCAGTGAGTATGCACGTGCCACTGCCGTAATACGTCCAACAATCAAGCCCAAGGCCCTACCCCCTCAGCGAACTCACCCGGGAGCGGCCTCTGGGCCACTCTTGCCGCCGCGCGCTGCGCCTCCTGCACCGCTGCTAAGCGCGCCTTCTGCTCCTCCGCAGCGCGCAGCGCTTCCTCATCCGCCTTCGCGCGCGCTATAGAAGCATAATCTCTAGCTTTTGCTTCATTGTAGAGCCGCAGCGCGTACTGAAACCTGGCCTTGTCGCTCTCGAACTCTGGGAGGGTTGGGCGAGAAAGCATGGCCGGGACAGGCCTTTCAGAAAGCTCAAGCGGGCGTGGACCGCGGTGGGCCCCGTGGGCGGAGTGGGCCCGGAGACGTGCCCCCTTCGCAGTAGCGGTTGTCAGGGTAACAAGGATTCTGAACCTGCTGCCGCAAAGCCTTTTGGCTCCGCCCCGCTTGGCCAGCTAGACGCCAGTTGGCGCTAGCTCATCGCAAACCATTCATCCCCAATCATTCATTCTGCCGCATCTGCACCTCAAGAGCAGATCCCAAGGGGCGGAGGGGGCCTTCGGGTTGTCACCCTTCTCGGAGACCCACGTCCCGCAGGTCGCTGCTCCCCTGCTGCGAGACGGCACCTGCGATGCCGGGACCTGCTGGCGTGCACTCAGTTTATGATGGAACACGCATTCCTGCAGCACTCCCCCTGCCGCCGCCGGTGCCACCACCACCACCGCTTAGTGCTCTTTGCCTGCAGGCGTGCCTGCATACCATGCACCTGTCGCCGCGCACCATCGCCAAGGGCGTTGGCGTGTACTTTGCGGCAGCAGTGAGTGGCTACCTCTACCTGCGCTCCACCAAGGCGCCCGCCCCCTCGCCGTGCGGCTGCGGCGCCAGCCGGCCCGCCGCCAACGCGGCAGGCGACGGCAGCGGCGGCTGGGACGAGGCGCCGGCGAGCCCGGCGGGCGGGCAGCAGACGTTTGACCGCCTAGCAGACCGCTACGATTCATGTATCAACGTGGACGAGACGTTCATGGGAGTGAAGCTCATGCGGCGCTGGCTCATGCGGCGGGCCGAGGTGTGCAGAGCGTGTGGGGCAGGGGGATGCTGGCAGCAGGGAGAGCTGCGCTGTGCGCTGGCAGCAGGGGGAGCTGTGCTCTGCGCTTGCGCTTGTGCAGGCAGGGCAGGTCGGCCGGTCAAGCACACAGCTGCGGGCGGCTCGTGTGCAGCACTGGATGCAGGAGGCTGACCGGCCTGCCGCTGTGGCGAAAGCAGTCTGGACCAATGCCTGCCGAGCCCCGATCGACGCCTCACCCTTGCTGCTGCAGGGCGATGTGCTGGAAGTGTCTGCGGGGACGGGGCGCAACCTGCCTTACTACGACCTGCGCCGCCTGCGCTCCCTCACCCTCACAGACACCAGCCGCCACATGCTGGTCAATGCCGCGGACAAGTATGCAGAGATGGGCGCGTCCACCGGCTCGGCACGCGTGCGCTTTGAGCTTGCAGATGCCCAGCATCTGGCGGCCACGCCAGACAGCAGCAGCGGCAGCAGCGAAAGCAGCAGCAGAGCCCACGCTGCGGCAGGTGCGGCACAGCAGCCGCCGGAGGCGCGGCAGCCGCAGGAGCAAATGCAGGGAGCAGTAGGGGCGCCGCATCGGCCGCAGCTGAGGCAGCAGCAGACCTTCCCGCCGCGCAGCTTCGATTGTGTGGTAGATACCTTCGGTTTGTGCTCGCAGCAGGACCCAGTGACGGCGCTCAAGGTGGGTTGGATGGGCCAGTGTGGCAGAGGATCGCCGCACCAATGGGCAGGAGCAGCTCAAGGAGGAGACAGAGGACCATGCCTGCGCTGCCTGAGCCAGCTGGCCAACATCCCCCACCGAGCCGCCTGGCTGCAGGAGATGGCGCGGGTGTGCAAGCCGGGCGGCCGCATCCTGCTGCTGCAGCACGGCAAGGGCACCTGGGGCTTTGTGAACAGCATCCTGGACAGCGGAGCAGGTGTGGGAGGCAGGCTTTGCTGCCCATGCCATGCTGTACTTGATCATGTGCGGCTGCCTGCCTGCCTGAAGAGGCACTGCTGGGTGCATTGAGGGGATATCGGCTGCTTGCGCCTTGCCACGCTCCGCAGAGCGCCGCTGAAAAGGCTCCGAACGCCACCCCGCATGCAGGCGAGCACTACCTCAAGTGGGGGTGCTGGTGGAACCGCGACATTGAGCGCATTGTGCGCCAGGCGGGGCTGCGGGTGGACTCGATGAGCCGCTGGCACTTTGGAACCACCTACCTGGTGGTAGCGCGGCCAGCGGAAGAAGCCTGAAAGCGCAGGGCAGCTGCCGGCGGCGGCGTGCCCGACAGCTGGCGCCGGCGGCCTTGCATCCCGGGAAATGTTGGTGGTTCGAAGCATTGCTGACTCAAACAGGTGTTCCTCGTCCCCTCGCTTCTGCGCAATAGCCCGGGGAGTCGATTACGAAGGCTGCCTTTTGGGGGGCGCAGTCTGACGTGGATTTCGATGCAGAGAGCTGACTCCCCGTCCCTTCCATCTTTTCTGTCACGAGTTGCCAAAGCTGCACGCCCAGGGCAGCGCACGTGAGCTGCTTTCACCAGAGCTTCCCAAGACTGCTCTCTGCCCACGCGGCCCACCACTCCACGGCCCCTAGGCAGCAGCTTGTGTGAGCCTGCCCTGCTCCTCAGCCTTAGGCCAGGGCGGCCCGAGCTGCGGGCCCTCGCGGGTCCCACGCTGCTCGAGTAGCGCCTGAGCAGGAGGTGGCGCGCTCCGGCAGCTGAGCAGGCACAGCAAATGGCCAGCAGTAGGGGCGGCAGCAGGCTGGCGGGAGGGCGGCTGTTGCTGGCGGCGCTGATCTTCGCCGCCGCTACAGCTTTGCCAGCTGCCGCAGCTGCCGGCCCCGCAGGAGAGGCGGCTGCGCTGCCGCCGGTCGAGGTCGCAGCGGCAGAGGGCCCGCTGGCCGCCACCGTCGCAGCGGCGGTCACGGCGGCCGCCGGCAACGTCAGCGCCGCGCCGGCCGCGGCGGCCGCCGCCGGCGCCAAGTTCAGCATGATAGTCGTGCTGCGCGACGCCTCCACCCTGGCCCGCCTGCGCATGATGTGCGCCACGTCGCCCCTCATGTACCGCCTCTTCTACCGCGCCCTGCGCCTGCCCGCCGACTGCCACATGCCGGGCGTCTGCAAGCGCATCTACTCGCAAACCATCTCGGGCTTTGCCGGCGAGTTTGGGGAGGCCGACCTGGCGCGCCTGGAGCGCTGCCTGCCGCCCTCCTCAGTCTTCTACCGAGAGCCTGACGCGCAGGTGGGTGGGCCGCACAGCTTGGGACGAGCGGCAGCGAGGCAGCTGTCGAGCGTTCACGCCTGTTCAGGCACCTTGCCGGCTACTGCAGCCCCGCCCTGCCTTCTGCTGCCCTCCCCAGCCCACCACTCCCTGGCCCCTCTGCCCGCAGGTGTTCAAGGCTGAGGACAGCTCCTACTGGCACCCGCCAGACGAGCCGGAAGAGCAGCAGGCACCCCAGCAGGCGCAGCAGCAGGCGCGCCGGGCAGGGCGGCGCTTGCAGCAGGGCTTTGTGCCGCGGGTCGAGGCGTTTGAAGGTGGGCCTGCCGCCTTGCCTGGTGCTGGGCCCCTCCCCGGCGTGTTCCTGCCTGCCCTGCCCGCGTTGCACCGTCCTGCCCAGCCTTTCGACCAACGCCCTGCATGCTGTCCCGCCTGCTGCCTGGGCTGCCCGCCTTGCAGAGCGCCAGCGCACGCCCAGCACGGCGGCGGGGCCCATCGACGAGTTTGCTGTCAGCCAGGGCAGGAACATCAGCGACGCCGGGCCCAAAGGGCAGGTGGGCGTGCTGGTCCGGGCAGGAGGCAGCGGGCTGGGCTAAGGCAGGGGCATCGCATGGTGAAGGCTGATGTTGGTTTTGCGGCGCCGCTTCTGGGCGGCCTGCGCCTCGGTCTTGCTGCTGCTCCGGCCCGACTCGCCCGCCCACCTCGTGCCACAGCGCCCCGCCATCCCACGCCGCTCCTGCCCCGCAGACGCTGTCCAGCCAGCTGTGGAACCTGGACCGCATCGACCAGCGGGACCTGCCCCTGGACGGCAGGTTCACCTACGGCACAGGCAAGCACGCCGCTGCTGATTGACGGGCGGGGCAGGCCTGCCGCGCCTGCTACTGCCCTGCGCCAGGCCTGGCTTCGCGCTCCCTCCAGGGCTGGCGCAGCGGGCTGGCGCGCCGCGCCACCCACCGCTCGCCCCGCCTGACCGCTGCCGCCGCTCCTGCTGGGATGCAGACGTGTCTGCCGGCACGGGGCGCGGAACCACCATCTATGTCGTCGACTCTGGCATACGGCTGAGCCATCAGGAGTTCCTCACTCAGGACGGCTCCCGCTCCCGCGCCTCCTACGGTGAGCGGCTGGCAGCGGTGTTCGAGGCGGGGGGCAGCGCCGGGAGCAGGCGCGCGGCCTGCCCGTCGCCGAGCCGCCCACTCCGGCCCGCTTTCCTCCCGCCGCCGCCGCTGCTGCTGCAGGCTACGATTTTGTTGAGGATGACTACGAGGCAGACGACTGCGATGGACATGGTGAGGGAAAGGGGGAAACCACACTCGGGACTGAGCAACAGCGGGACCCCGCCTTGGCCTCCCTGGCCCATGCTCGCCACCCGCCCCAATCACCTGTCTCTCTCTGACCTTCCGCCGCCTCCCCCTCCCCGTGCTGCCTTCCCGCAGGCACCCACGTGTCGGGCACCGCCATCGGGCTGGGCGTGGGCGTGGCCAAGGAGGCGGAGGTGGTGGGCGTGCGCATCCTGGACTGCACCGGCAGCGGCACCATCAGCGACACTGTGGCCGCGCTGGACTGGGTGGCAGGTGCGTGGCTGTGTGTGTGTGTGTGTTTGTGTGCGTGCATGTGTGTGTGTGTCTGCGCGCGCGCGCGCGCGCGCGCGTGGCTATGTTGTGGTGGTGGGTGGGGCGCGTGGAGTGGGTGGGATGCCTGTGCCACCTGCAGCAGCACGTGTGCTGCCTGAGCCGTCCACCAAGCCTGCCGCCTCCGCCCGCCGCGCCCCCTCCCCGCGCAACCGCCGCGCAGCCAACCACCGCAAGCCCGCGGTGGTGACGCTGTCGCTGGGCATCCAGGTGGGCAGCTGGTCGCGTGTGCTGGAGGATGCGGTGCGCTCGCTCATCAACACCCACGGCGTCACGGTTGTGGTGGCCAGCGGCAACAGCGGCGTGGATGCCTGCTACGTGGCGCCAGGTGGGCGGGGCGGTGGGGTGCGCGGGGTTGGCAGGGGTCGAGGGGCCCGACAAGAGGAGGGGCATGGCAATGGCACGCGGCGGCAGGTGATGCCCACGCAGCAGCTTTGAGCTGGAGACGTGAAGGCCAGGCGACGGGCGCAGCGCGCTGACGTGGCGGAGCGCCTGCCCCCGCCCCGTCCCCGCAGCCAACGTGCCCGAGGTCATCACCGTCTCCGCCTCCAACCTGGCCACCAAGTACAATGGCACCAAGTCGGGTGGGGCTTGCGGCAGCAGTTGGGGGGTTGCGCCCTGCCCAGACGCTCCCCTGCGCGCCCTTTTTTTGCATTGTTACATTGATGGGGGGCTGACCCCCCCAGGCACAAGCCCCTCTCCTGGCGCCCGCACGCGCCCAGTGCCTCTTGGCCCCCCCCTCCCTCTTCACCCACCCTTTCTCGCCACCCCCCCCGCGCGGCTCCTCGCCCCCCCCCGCAGGCGACCCCGAGGACCCTTACAAGTGGTCCAACTCCGGCCCCTGCATCGACCTGTTTGCCCCCGGGGTGGACATCTTCTCCGCCTGCGGCGGCCCCTCCCGCTGCGAGGCAGTTAGCGACTCGGCCTACACCTACGCCAGCGGCACCAGCATGGCCGTGCCCCACGTGGCAGGTGCCTGGAGCGGCCGAGCATCGTGCTGCGGCCTGCCCGGTGGCAGCAGCATGCATGGCGGGGTGTGTGCCGGTTTTGCGGCCTGTGCCCGCCTGCCTCCCGCTTGACCGTGCACTGCCTGGCCCGCCGCCCGCCCGCCCGCCCGCAGGTGTGGCCGCCGCCTACCTGAGCGCCAACCCGGAGGCAGCGCCCCGCGATGTGGCGGCGGCGCTTGTGGCCGGCGCCACGCTGGGCAAGGTGGTCACCAGCAAGCTGAAGCCGGGCACCGCCAACCGCCTGCTGTACAGCCGGCTGGGCGACAGCGGGGAGGTGCAGGCGGCCAACGGGCCCTGATTGGTGCCATATATACTACTACCGGGCTGCCATTTAATTGCCATTTTTGTTCCTCAAGAGCTGCACATGTGTGTGCATGAACACAACGAATGCACTTACTTGCTTCCTGCACGCCTTGCACACAACCCCCCGTGACGCTGGCGACCGAGCCGGCAACCCACTAAGATGCTTTGTTTCCTGCACTTTTTGCGGCCACACCGCTCTCTTGCATGTCGTTCATTTGCCCCTGAGGGGCGTTTTTCACAATCGCGCTGTAATCTGCACATCCTCATCGCCAAACGTGTGCGATGCGGTCGCTACCCGCTGCACGATGCGGTCGCTACCCGCTGCACGTCGCCGCACGCTGCCGGCCCCATGCGCCGCGTACAGTAGCTGTGTACAGTGATATGGTTGCTTACAATGCCACAGCGCTGCTGAGCCACATGGGAATAGATCAAGAAGGGCGCATCAATGCACAGGGCAAGCTTGAAGGGATGATCCTGTTGTGCATCCGCCACTTTCCTCCTCACGCTGACCTGTGGGGGCCTGTTCTTTATCGCCCTCCTCTCTCGAAGATAGATCGCGGTGCCTGATTTTGACGGCCCCTGCAAGCCAGCCAGGCCCCAGCGTCAGTTCGCAAAGAATGTCCAGCAAGCCCAGCAAGCTGCCTGCCTGGGGCGGCGGCGCCGGCTCTCGCCTGGCCTCCCAGGCAGCGGCTGCCAAGCTGCGCACAGTGCGTGACAAGAGCCAGGCTCGCAGTGCCTCCTCCACGGGCTTCCGCTCCAGTGCAGAGGAGGCGGCCAGCAGCAGCTCGGGTGCAAGCTGGTGAGCTCTGCACGAGGTCGAAGGGCTGGGCATGTGTGCATGAAGCAGCGCTGGCGAGTCAACGATACCGCCGCCCTCCCGCCCGCCCGCCCTGCTCGACCCGCCGCTGCTGCAGGGGCTTTGCTGCCTCCAGGGAGCCGATAGAGGAAGAGTGCTGCCCTGCAGCCACCCCTGCCGCCACGCCGGTCAAGATGGTGACGCCTTCCAAGGGCGAGGCACGTGCCGCCGCAGCGGGCTCGGTCAAAGCACTGGGCGACAGCTTTAACCAGAGCGAGCAGGCTGCTGGCGCTGCTGCCCCCGCCGCCGCCGCCACCGGCCTGCCATCCGATGCACGCGCCGCGCTGGGAGAGCTGGCGGGCAAGCTGGGTGCTGCGGCACGGAGCGGCGGCGTGCTGCCGCTGGCGGGGCCACACAGCTGGGAGGAGGTGCGTGCGGGGCATGCAGCCGGGTGCTGGCAGCCTGCAGCGTTCACATGCCCTTCAGCCCTCATCAACTCTTACGACAGCTTTCATCACGCTGGCTGTGGCTTTGTGCGACCCCTACCCTGCCACTGCCCCTGTGCAGGCCTTCCTGGCGGGCGTGGCGGTGGGCCTGCAGCTGCCGGCTGCGGGGCGGCGCCGCACCGCGCTGCACCCCGTGCTGCTGGGCGTGGTGCTGGTCAGCGCTCTGGTGGTGCTGGCCGGCTCGGCGCTGCTTCCGGCTGGCTGTGCCCAGGCCCGCCCCACCACCGTCTACTATACCTGAGGCGGCGGCGGGAGGCGGCGGCGGGTGGTGGCGGCGGCTTTGCGGCTGGCGGCAGTGCGCCGTGACGGGGTGACATGTCTCTCAACAATGCTCTCTCTACATTCCCTGTTCTTTCGCACGTCCTCATTTACACTGTTTCACTTCCTACTGCTTCCCCTGCTTCCCCATGCTACTTGGGATTGGGACTAGTGTACATGCGCAGCAAAACAGGCCAAGGGAAGGGTCCAACAAAATGCAGCAGCAGCAGCAGACGAAGAAGAGCAGCGTTGCAAAGGCAGCAAAATGTCGTCAGCGGCATGCAGGGCGCTCTCGCGGAGCAGCGCGGTTCCTGTTTGGGCGGTGCCAGCGCAGGTCTCACAGCAGGTCGTCCACCGCCTCTCGCGGCACGCTGGTCAGCCACACCACCTGCAGCAGCGCGCGGCACGCCTCCTGCACCCGCGCCGCCGCCGCCTCGCTGTCGCCCTGCAGGCGCCGCGCCAGCGGCGCCGCCGCGCGGCTGTACGCCTTGCCGCCGCCCTGGGCGCCCGCCGCGCCGTCCAGGTGGCTGCCTGCTCATGGGAGAGAGCGCGCAGGCGGCACACACGTCGGCAGCTGGCCGGCAGCGGCAACTCGCAGGCGCTGCCGCCAAGAATCCCCCATGCCGTGCCCCCCCACACGCACCACACACACGTCCCGTGCGCCTGCACCCACCCGCCGAGGCCAGCGCGGCGCCAAAGGCCGCCCCCACCCCCGCCAGGTCATCCAGCATGCGCAGCGCCTGGCGCCGCAGCAGCAGCGCCGCCGCCTCGGCGCCGGGCGGCCACGCGATGCCGTCGTTGGCGGGGCGGCCGTAGCGGTAGTGAGAGGACAGGCTGCGGCCCAGCGCCAGCAGCCGCTCCAGGCACAGGCTGCACAGCTCTGCCACCGACTTGACGCCGGTGGCGTGGAGCCCCGCCAGGGCGCCGAGCGCGGCGGGCGCCGCCTGCGCCGCCGCCTCGCGCTCTGCCTCACCCTTTGCCTCGCCCTCGCCCTCCGGTTGCGCCTCGGGTTCTGCCGATGGGCCGCTGCTGGGTGCTGCAGCCGCGGGCGCCACCCCAGCCGCCTCGCCCTCGCCCCCCGCAGGCGCGGCTTCAGTGGCCCCGGCGGCGGCCGCGGCCACGAGCCGCGCCGCGGCGTCGCGGGCGGCCCGCGCCAGCGCGTCGGCGCGCTCGCAGCCCGCCGCCGCCAGCTCCTCGATCACAGCGTGCCCAGCGGCGACCGCCGCCACGTCAGCGCCGCCGCCCTCGCCGCCGTCGTCGCCGGGGTGCGGCGCGCCGAGGTCGAAGATGGGCGCCAGAGCCGCCAGAGCCCGCTCCAGCCCCGCACGCTCCTCCTCGCCCAGCGCCGAGCGCAGGCGGTTGGCAATCCTGCGGCATGGGGGCAGGAGGCGCAGGCAGGCAGGGAGGGAGGTGCGGCAACACGGTGTCGGCTTCCTGCGCCAGGTCCATCCCACGTAAGCGCCTGGCCGGCAGGCTTCCGTCACGACAACCGCCCCAGCGGCACGCCGCCAGGGGCCAAGGGCATGCCTTCATAACTTCTCCCCAGCTGCTGCGACTGCCCCCGCATCCCTGCCCGCCAACCAGCCCAGCCAGGCAGGCGCTCGATGATCGGCCAGCCCAAGCTCAGCCGCAGCCCAGCCAGCCAGCCACGCACCGCGCACTGTCATTGGCCAGTGCCTCCAGGTCCTCCTGAGCGCTGCGCCCGCCGTGGATGTACAGCTGGTCCGCAAAGCAGGCGGCCTCCTCGCCCTCGCCGCCGCCGCCGCCGCCGCGCGCGCCGGCCAGCCTGCGGTGGCGGCAGGTGCAGGGTCGGCGGCGCGGCGGGGCAAGGCTGGGCGAGGCGGACGGCGGGGATTCGGCGGGGCAGCGCAACAGGGTGGCAGAAGGGAACGTGCAGGTGGGGTGGCGGGGTGGTGGCACGGCTGGGAACGCGGAGGAGCAGGGTTGGTGCCGCGTGGCTCACAGGCTACTTTCATGACACACCCCCCCACCCCCCCACATACCCACACACTCCACACCACACACGCACACCACACACTGCACACCACACACCCACACCACAGCACACCACACACGCCCCCACCTGGGTCCCGCCTCCATGGCAGACTCCAGCAGCTCCTGGGCGGTGCGCCCCAGCGCGCCCAGCGTGGACCCAATCCTGAACTCGGCGGCGCGGCCCCCCGCCGCCGCCTTGCTGCGCCACGCAAAGGATGGCACGCACAGCACGGCACGGCACGGCAGCAGGGCTGGGGGTCAGGCAGCTCTCGCAGAAATGGCAGGAGGTATTGGCAGGAGAGGCGCAGGCTGGCTGCAGGCTGCCGCGGCAGCCCACACGCATCATGCATGCGCAGCCCGGCGCAGCACGGCGCGGCGCAGCACCAGGCGCGTGGTGGGCCGCCCCGCACACACCTGGTGGCCGCCTGCACCGCCGGCTGCGCGTCGTGCACCGTCTCGGCAAGCTCCCGCCCCACGCTGGCCGCCGCCGCCTCCACCTTGCTCGCCAGGCCCTTGCCCCAGCCCCACAGGCTGGTCAGCGCCTTGCTGGCGCCAGCGGGCGGCCCGCCTGGCGCAGGCGGCTCCCCCTCATCAGCCCCGCCCGCTGCGCCGGCCTGCAAAAGGGCGCGGGGGCAGCCTGTCAACCCAGGAATGCAACAGGCGGGCGCGGCATCGCAACAGGCGCGCTGCTGGGCACGGCACGGCGGCGAGCTGGCACCCTGCCCACCCTGCCCACCTGCCCACCCTCCGGCGCAGCCGCCTTGGCCGGCGCCGGCGGCTCAATGTCCGCCTCATCCTCCGCCGCCAGCCGGGCCAGCACCTGGCGCCGGCGAGCCTCCTGCTCGGGCGGCAGCGGCGAGTCGGCGCCCGGCGGCGGCGGCGGGCGCCGCGCCACCGCACCCCCGCCCTCCTCCTCGTCTGAAGCTTCAGCCACTTCATGCAACACCTGCAGCGCCAGGGGCAGCACCAGCAGTAGCGGCAGCCTGTTGCTCTGCAGCCTGGTGGTGACCATACCAAGTGCCGGGGTGGCTCCCTCCCTAACGGCGCCAGCCTGCCTGCCCTGCCTGCCCAGCCTGCCCGCAAAACACACCAGCCTGCCTGCCAGCCCTGCCTGCCTGCCCTGCATTCAAACCGCAACCACGTCCGCCCACCTTCTGGAAGCTCTCTCCGAGGTCAGACACATCCTTGATGGCGGTGCTGGCGGCCGCCTGCAGCGAGGCGCCCAGCCGCCCCAGCGCGCCCCACCCGCCGACCCACCCGCCGGCGGGCGCGCCGCCGCCAGCGCCGGGCGCGGCGTCGCTCGCCGAGCTGGTGGCCTCGCCTGCAGCAGCCTGCGGCGCGTCCTGCAGGGGGCAGCCAGTGGGCAGCGCACATGAGCAGGCGGAAGGATGGGCACAGTGTGGAGAAGCCTGGGCCCTGCAGATGAGCAGGCCTGGCATTGCAATCGAGGTGCAGAGGATGCCTGGTGGCCAGCCCCAGCCTGCCCCAGGCTGCCCCAGCAGTGCTAGGCACCACAGCAAGGCGCCCACCGTGTCTGTAGCCAGCAAAGCGCTGCTGCTGGCGGGCTCAATCTCGCTGGCAGGCGCCGCCTGTGCGGCGGCTGCCGCTGCCGGCGCCGCGGCTGGCGCGGCCGGCTTTGGGGGCGGCGCGCTGGCAGCGCCGCCAGAAGCAGGCCTGCTGGGCGGCAGCCCGCCTGTGCTGGGCACCCGGGGGGGGCCCGGTGGCGGCGCTGCGGCTGCCGGGGCGCCTGCTGGCCGAGTGGCAGCAGCGGCGGAGGCGCCTGCAGGCCGAGGGGCGCCGGCTGCGGCCGCACTGCCGGGCCTAGCTGGCCGCACCGCTGCTGCAGGCGGCGGCCGGGGCTGGGCGGCAGGCCGCGGCCCAGCACCAGCTCCAGGCGGCGGCGGCCTTGGTTGCGCGGCTGCCCGCGGCCGGCCGGCTGCGGCTGCAGCGGCGGCGCCTGCAGGCGGCGGGCCTGCTGTCGCTGCTGCAGCTGACCGGGGCCGCGCCTGCGCTGCTGCTGCTGGTCCTGCCGTTGCTGCTGGGCGCGGGCCAGGCGCGCCTGCTGCAGCGGATGGCCGGAGAGGCGCCGTGGCGCCTGGGGCGGCAGCGGCACCAGGGGGCCTCACACCACCTGCGCCTGCTCCTGCAGCTGGCCTGGGAGCCCCTGCAGCTGGCCTGGGCGCCGTGGGTGCAGGACGCGCGCCGCTGGCTGCTGGGCGCACAACCGGGGCGGTCGGCAGGGCGGGAGGGGCTGTGGTAGTGGCGGGCGCCGTGGCGGCGTTCCTGGGCGCAGCCGTGGCAGCCGGGGCGCGTGGGGCAGACAGCGCTGGCGGGCGAGGAGCAGGCGTGGCTGCCGGCGGTGGTGCCAGGCCCGCCGGAGGTGCTGGCGCGCTGCCGGAGGAGGCAGACAGGGCGGCGGCGGCGGCGGCGGCGGCGCCGCCGGGCGAGTCGGGTGTGGAGCTGCGGCCGGTGGTGCTGGAGGAGGGAGCCGACACCACGGCTGGCGCCGGCTCCAGCTCGTCCCAGTCTTCGTCCACCATGTCTGCCTCAGAGAGCTGCACGCTATCGAGCTGGGACGTGAACTCCTCGTCGTCTGAGGCCTCTTGAGTCATACCCGCGTCGTGCGCCTTGCTAGTAGCACGCCAGTGCGCCACAATGGGATATGAAGAGGGTGGGGAGAGCCCCCGATCAGTTGCCCCGGCAGGCTTGTTCAAGCAAGCTGGGCAAGCTCCTTTGCTGGCAATGATTTGCAGCCGTGCTACACGAAGCATGGCAGGGCCAGGGACTCTCCCCATGTCGGGCACCACAGCCCTTGGTGCCGTGGTGCCAGCTAGGCGGGTGCGCTGGAGGAAGGGAGAACGCCCGAGCCCCCCAGCGGCCTGTCTCTTGGATCGCGGCATCCAGGGATCGCACCACTGGCGCCATCCACCCCACCTCGGGCTCCCGATCGGCTGGCCTTTGATGAGCAGGGAGGCTAGCCTGTCCGGCGACACCTCCACACCCACTCACAGCCTGGCGCTCAGCGGGGAGATGGCGGTCGACAAGTCCAAGCGCTACGACAGGGGCATCAGGGTGTGGGGCGCCCATGGGCAGGAGGCGCTGGAGGCGGCCCGCGTCTGCCTGCTCAACGCGGGCCCCACCGGCACCGAGGCCCTCAAAAACCTGGTGCTGGGCGGCATCCACTCCTTCACCATCGTGGACGGCGCCAAGGTCACCGCCGCCGACCTGGGCAACAACTTTTTGCTGACCGCCGACAGCCTGGCGGGCAGCAGGGCGCGGTGCGCCACTGGTGCGCCCGCCCGCCGCCGCCTGCCGCCTGCCGCCGCCCCGCTGCAGCCCCACGCCTGCACCGAGGTCGCCGTGCTTGCAGTGGAGGCGCCGTGCAGCAGGCATCCCTTGCGCCACTGTCGGTTGCAGTACCGTGCTGCGCCCAGTGCGCCGCATGGCAGCCCCGCGCCGACCTTCCCATCTGCACATGCTGCATCATCTTTTTTCACCACCCTTATGCGCCCCGCCAGCCTCCTGTGCCCCCTTTCGGGTCCCACCACCCACCACCCGCCCACTCGCTCACCCCGCCGCCCCGTGCTTCCTGCCACCGCCGCCGCCGCCGCCGCCGCCGGCCGCAGAGTGCCTGCAGAGCTGAATGAGAGCGTGGGGGGCAGCTACGTGGAGG